GAACTCGCGCCTGGATCCTGATTATTCTCTTTGCTCGCTCCTTCGGATACCATGTTTTCCTTGTCTCTCTGTATTCACCGTGTGTTTGTTTTGTTTGGTGCGTACGGAGTGGCTGCCTTTTTGTTTCTTGCGTGACGTGGTTTACTGTGAGGTTTTGGATAGGGAGTCAGGTGTAGACCTTGTCGTTTTGTTGTTTACTTATTTTCATTGTGAACATTATTCTTCTTGATTATCAGTTAAAATATATATGTAACATAAGTTACCTTCAATTCAGTATTAGTACTCTGGAGATTTCAGAGACAAAGGTACAGAAAAATTCCCCTCAGGGGCTATGGTTGATTGAAGGGATGCTATTCAAAAGGGGTCTGTTAGATGACAGTCCCTTCAGGTTGGTCATTCACCAGTATTCCCTTGCAGGTGATGGTGCACAGTGGATTCCCAACAGGTTGTCCTATCACAGGGGTGAGGGTAAAATGCAGACTGTTTACAAACAATGGATTTTATGTTTATAAACAGACGTGTCGCAAATGACGTGTCGCTGGAGTTTGCAATATCATGTAACCCAGGTTCCCTTTACTAGTGTTTGAGTCCTTCGTGATTATGACCCTAACCTGTGTCTTGTTGTTGCCAGACCACACCTGTCCCTTGTCATCTGTGTATATATGTGCCCCCTTGCCCTTATTCATCAGCTGGTCATTTATACTTTTCTCATTATACTTTTGTTCTAACACATATGTTGTCAGTATAATCTCAGATTCACATTTTATTATCTGTAATTTGGTAAGTTACTATTTTTTGCAAACTCAGTCTCACAGTAAATAGTCATAACCAATTATTTGTCAGCAAATCTTTAAAAAATCTATTTAGTTTGAATATGTGAACGTCTCATTTGTAAAGAAGTGAAATATGACTAATGACAGTATTTAAATAAATACACAATTTATGTGTAAAACTGCACCTCTATTCATATTTACTTGTCAAATTATAATGCAATACAGAATAGATGTAACAAGATGTTGGCACATGATAGCTTTTTCATTTACATGTATGTACTGTGACAGGGGTGAGAGTAAAATGCGGATTCCGCCGGACGTAAACAAAAGAGCCTTCGAGGAGCTCAGCAATGCGGTCCACGTCACGTCAGCTGCAGACACACCTCGAACGCACCCCGTGATTAGGTGTGATAGATGCTGACATAACAAGAAACCGCATTTTCCAGCCTCAACTGTTAGTTTTAATTTTCGGCTGTCAGTCAGGGGCGGTCACTGATGATGTCATTTGGCGCCGGTACCATTTTTTACGCCAGTGGAAAACCGACATGAAAGAAGTACTTTATGGAAGTGCCGAAAGTACGGTACCTGGTGCGGTGGAAAAACGCCCTTACAGTATTCATTTTGGTATTTTTAAAAACAACAACATATGGAAAAAAATTTAAACTACAGTTTATACACACACGCGCACACACATACACACTATATTGCCAAAGGTATTGGGACACCTGCCTTTACACTGACATGAAATTTAATGGCATCCCATTCTTAATACATAGGCTTTAATATGGAGTTGGCCCATCCTTTGCAGCTATAACAGCTTCAGCTCTTCTGGGAAGGCTGTCCACAAGGTTTAGGAGTTTTGACCATTCTTCCAGGAGAGGATTTGTGAGGTCAAGTACTGATGTTGAACGAGAAGGACTGGCTCACAGTCTCTGCTCTAATTCATCCCAAAGGTGTTCCATCGGGTTGAGGTCAGGGCTCTGTGCAGGCAAGTCAAGTTCCTCCACACCAGACTCACTCATCCATGTCCTTATGCACACTGTAAAACCTGACTAGTTAGTTCAACTCAAACTGTTTGAGAAAACCGATTGCCTTAAATCATTTAAGTTTATGAACTCAAACAATTAAAGTAAAAATATTTTTTGTATTGAGTAAAAGTGAGTTAAGTGTTCATAATTTAAGCAACTTAGTTAAATCAAGTTAAGAGCATCAGCTGCATTAATTAGTTTGATTTAAATGACTTGAGTAACAATAACTTAAATGCATCCCCCTTATGTAAATGCTACTATTTAAGTTTTATTTACTCAGTTTTCTTCCTTTAAGATTTATTATTACATTCTACTTGCGACAACTTTTAACCTAATTGTAGCTACTCAGCTCATTTAAGGAAACTCATTGCCTTGAACCTTACACAGCAAATGTGCCAGTGTTAAATTAACACTGCATGGTGTTTTAATGGATCCACATTGAGTGTTACCTTTAACACTTTAGAGTGTGCAGTAAGTCTTGTTTTTAGTGTTAATCTTTGTTAACTCTAATAGTGTTCAATTTACACCATAGGGTGTTGTCAATGAGTCTCTACCTCCACATATCTGCCCCATTATTCATATATATATATATACACATATATATATA